TTGACCAACTCCTATTATTCAAATGTTGGACCTCTTGGCCTCAATTTCTCTTTCACTAATTTTCAACATAATTGCTTTTTGTTCTGCTTTGTGAGAAGTTTCCTCTACTACACTTTCCAAATTTTCCATTGTAGATTTAATTTCTGCTATATTTTTTAATTTCCAAGAAATGTTTTGAGTATCCTTTACCTGTTCTATCAATGCAATATTTTCTCTCATTTCTCTGAGAACACCTCTCCTGGTACAGCCTCTGTTTCCTCCAGTTTGCTTTCTATCTTTTGTCTACGCATTTCCTCAAATGTTTGGTGATCCTTAGCTGTTTGCTCATCTTTAAGAGCGGAATGCTCTAAAAGGCTTTTTCTGTGAGATTTTCTACAGGGTAATCTGGCTTTGCCTTAGTTGGGGGCTGGTCAGACCCCCATAGAAGAACCTCCCAATCTCTTGCTGAGAGTCTGGTTGTGTGTATTCTGGGGACCAGGGAGGGAAGGAGGCTGAGGACCTCAATATTCAATATGCAACCTTCCACTCAATCTCTTTTTAAATTACTGGATGCCTGAACTCAACTTCAGTCTTTGTCAGGGTGAAAGAAAGTCTTTGTCTCACTATCAAGAGTAGGGCAGGAAATTAGGGGTCTTCTTGTGTTTCAGCTAATCTTCATGTTTTCAGCATCATATTCATTTCAATTTCCAGAGTTACCTTTTGTTGTCAACTCCTGAGATTATCTGGGGTTCCATGTTACAAGTCAGGGGTTTTGTTTGTTTTTTGCTTTTTCTGTTGCCAGTTAGGATTACACTTTCTCAGGTCTACTTAGTTACTATTCATGCTGCTTTTTAGCTTCCAAATTTTTGTTGCTATTTTCCTGTCTCTTCTCTTTGTCTAACTGTTTATTCCACTTACTATCATTTTAGTGGGGCTTGAAGATATAATACAGGTGTTTAACCTACTTTTTTTTTTTTTTTTTTTTTTTTTTTGAGACAGAGTCTTGCTCTGTAGCCAGGCACCAGGCTGCAGTACAGTGGCACAATCTCGGCTCACTGCAATCTCCGCCTCCTGGGTTCAAGCAATTCTCCTGCCTCAGCCTTCCTAGTAGCTGGGACTATAGGCACATGGCACCACACCCACATAATTTTTGTATTTTTTAGTAGAGATGGAGTTTCACCATGTTGGCCAGGATGGTCTCGATCTCTTGACCTTGTGATTCGCCTACCTCGGCCTCCCAAAGTGCTGGGATTACAAGCACGAGCCACCGTGCCTGGCCCAACCTACTATTTAAACTAAAAACAAATTACTATGTTTATTACATGTTTATGCATTTATCTTTCCAACCATATGTCGAAAATCTCGATTGTATCCCAAATACCTGTTCACGATATATTTCGATATATTTTTATGGAATTGATTAATTATATTAAAAGAGATTACTTTCTCAACTGTGGTTTTCTGAAAAAGTAAATGAGGCAAGTAGGTCTGTGTCATAGAAGGAGAAAACACTTAGTGTCTCTTTTAGGGTTGATGAGATCTCTAGATCATAATAGGCATGCTATTATACAATTGTTCTATTTTGAATAACATCCCAGTGATAATTCATTCAGTGAATCCCAAACAATCTACCATCTTAGAAACAAATAATTAAAATGGACTTTGAGAGCTCATATAGTAAGTCCCTTTGGCTGAAAGCATTACCAGTTCATTATATTAATAGTACCAAGAAGAGAGGTTAGCTCATGATATGAGTTTATTTAACATGCTTGAAAAACTGGGGGATATCAATTCTCTAATTCAGTAATATACAAAGAAAGATAAAGAAGCAAGACAAAACAGAATGTCTTCTAGATCCTTAGACTAAATTAAAGTCTAAGCATCTATTAGGATTCCTTGCTGGGCCAGGTTTCTTGCTACTATGATAGATTACAATTTTTACCCAAGCATGGCATGTAATGTTTAATGTAAAAGAGATTAAAACAATTTTTTAAAAACCTCTTTGAAAAATCTTTTGAAGAGCAAATAGAGAAAGGAAAAGTAAAGTTTTTATTAAGACAACTTTCAATGTATTCTTGCCACCTCTTGCCATTAAAAATAATTTTTGCTGGAATAGATTAAAACAAATTTCAGACAGCATATCTTTTTCATCCATAGATTCTTATTCTTTTTTTTTTTTTTGAGATGGAATCTTGCTCTGTTACCAGGCTGGAGTGCAAGGCGTGATCTCAGCCCACTGCAACCTCTGACTCCCTGGTTCAAGCCATTCTCCTGCCTCAGCCTCCCCAGTAGCTGGGATTACAGAAATGCGCTGCCATGCCTAGCTAATTTTTGCATTTTTTTTTAGTAGGGACAGGGTTTCATCATGTTGGCAGGATGGTCTCGATCTCCTGACCTTGTGATCCACCCACCATGGCCTCCCAAAGTGCTGAGATTACAGGCATGAGCCACCACACCTGGCCTTCACCCATAAATTCTTCTAAACAATTTTTATTATTCAGATTTTTTCTTTCTATTTTATATAAAACTGTAATGCAATTATTATTCCTAACAAAACTAATAATTTCACAATATAATCTAACACCCCGATCCATATTCAAATTTCCCAGATTATCTGTTTGAATTGAGAACCACTGCATTTGGTTCCTATATCTCCTGAGTCTGTTTTAATTTATAATTACCATCTTATTCTTTAACTAACATATTATGTGCTTAAAGAGTGAAGGCAGGCTTGCAAAAGGCTTTTTTTTTTTTTTTGCTGCAGGATCAGCTTTACTTTAACCTGGCATTCTTCCAAAATTCTAAGTGCTCTTGAGGCACATGTTTCATGGGTATGTACTGGCCTTGTGTTTCTGTTAGTGGGAATATAATTCAACAGTTGGTCATTTTTAATATAATTGCATTCTGTCTTATTTACTTATGCCACTAATCAAACTTTGAAGGCATCTGCCTACTAGATTTATGCATAGTTTAGAATCTCACTGTTACATTAAAAAATTATAAATCCATACTGTAGAATGCAGTGATGGTATAATTAGATATATGGAAACTAAGTTTAGTAATAAATACATGCATTAGGTATTATTTTAGAAATGCTTTCAAGCCATTTATTTCAAGTGATAGTCATGGGGTAAGAATAAGAGCATTTTCTGAGTCTTGATCAGATAAAATCCAACATTTGTGGCCAGTACTCCACTTTCATCTGCTCTTTCCATTTTAAAGTCTCTCTAGTCTCACCATAGGCATTAGGCTACCGCTCCCATTTCTCTTCTCTTTATATTCAACTACTATATAGTAAGTGTCTGCTATGTGCCAGATGCTGTACAAACTATATTCCCTTTTAGTTCTCCCATCCAAGTACTAACCAGGCCCCACCCTGCTTAGCTTCTGAAGTTAGGCGAGATCGGGTGTGTTCAGGATGGTATGGCCATAAACTACATTCCGTTTAATTCTTATGACAGCCTATGGATGTGCCAGCTTCACTTTGTCAATGTGAAGCCCAGACCCAGAGGTTGTGCACAGGGTCTCTGACTCTAAAAGCTATGCTTCTGAAGTGCTCACGTTGCTCTCTGGGGTGTTAGTGGTGATTGGATTAAAGAAGGTCAAATCAGCACCAAAGGAGTTAACAAAATGTTCAAAACTGGACCAATACCTGCTCCATGGAATCCCCCGCAGACATAGAGTTTCCCATCCACTGCCCCTGCATTGGTGGAATTGGTGCGGAGTGAGAGGAGGGGACTTGGCATGAGAGGGCCCTCTCGCCAAAAGTCCCCATCTGGGTTGTAGATCTCCACCACGTCAAGGCATTTTCGGACCTGGCCCTTGTCTCGACCTACACAGCCAATGCCACCTGCAGAGAATGATGTGGAGAAATGAGAGAATCAAGAACTGAAACTCAGTTGTGGACAGCATCACCCGCTGCATGGTTTGTAGCAAAGGTTCATGGGACTGTAACTTTTCTCTCTCCTGCCAGGTGTTATCTCTAAGACAACTTCTAAGCAATAATGATGTCTACTATGTACCCCATAGACACATTTAATGTCATTTTTACTCATAGCGTTCCCCTTGTTTGTCATCATGCATGTGACTGAGTCTACCACATGCCTTATATTTTACAATATCCAATCCTGGCTCACATGACGAGCATCCCCTTTACAATAAGAATTTCAAGAGGCCGGGCGTGGTGGCTCAAGCCTGTAATCCCAGCACTTTGGGAGGCCGAGGCGGGTGGATCACGAGGTCAAGAGATCGAGACCATCCTGGTCAACATGGTGAAACCCCGTCTCTACTAAAAATACAAAAAATTAGCTGGGCATGGTGGCGCGTGCCTGTAATCCCAGCTACTCAGGAGGCTGAGGCAGGAGAATTGCCTGAACCCTGAACCCAGGAGGCGGAGGTTG